ATCAACCTCCTAGGGTAGGAACGCTTATTAAGAACACAAACCAGAAGAAGGTAGGCTATATTGAAATTGACTACAACTGGAGAACCAGATGTTTATGTAACGTTTCCATCTCTCTCTCTCTCTGTCTCTGACAACTGCCGAGAGCGGGTACAACCGGAGAACCAGATGTTTGTGGAAGTCTGCTTAGATTAAAACCCAAAAAGTTGTTGGTTCAGAGGATTTGAGTTCGATTCTTTCTGTTGCTGGCTTTTCCGGTCATTCTCAAAAGCCACCGATCTCGTAATCTTACTTTCTTTCTTTTCTAATTTGCTAGAACCCTGCAAGCTGCAACCTTACTTTTTATCTTACAGCAATCTTACTTTTTCGGTAAATGAAATGCTTAAGTGTCACTATTTTTTGAGAGGAGCAAATGGATGCTTGAATTGTTGAAAGAATTTTAATTGTTAATTTCTCATTACTATTTTATGCAAGGTAGTTTTGGAAGGAATATATAGAAGGGAGGGCCGGGAGAATGTAGAATTTATGCATGTGAGCTTTAGTATAACTACTCCCAGTCGTTTTTTTTTTAATTCTTTCATAAATATTTTTAAATAATTATATGATGCATCAAAATTTGACTTTTTCTTTCTTTATTTTTCATCACTTTGTTTTTCTTATCTCCATTTTTATTGAGTTAATTTTAACAAATAAGTAAGTTCTAATATATAAGAGCATAATTCCACGTAAATGCAATTGATTTGTATATGATTTTTACAGTTTAGTGACATTTTTGTCATCAATTAGATTTTAATTTTCTTTAATATCCTATATGAAAGTATAATAAATACCACGTGTGATCGTAATGCTTACTCCAATTTTGCCAATTTAATTTAAATGAAAGTGTGAATTCTTATTATACATATGAAATTATTGCTCAATCATAAATTATGAAATCATGATGTTGCGCATTTAGGACCGACAATTTTTCGACATATCAAGTGTCCAAGACAGATCAATGCACAAGCAGTGCTCAGACTTTGATAAACAATCAATAAACGGGAGTTTGATAACTATTTGTGTAAAATGTATTTAATAGCAGTGATGTATCTCGTAAAATTTCAAAAATATATATTGTCTATCTACAAAACAAGAATGTGTTGACTGTTATGGAGGTACAAGGATACTAATGCTGTTCGGATACTATATATATGGAAAAAAAAGGCTAATAACACCAAAAACTCCAAATTAATACACCCGTGCCACATTTACACCAAACTAATTTTTATGTTACAAAAACTTTGCAACTAGTACACATATGCCACATTTACTCCAAATTAGTTTTCATGTCATAAAAAATATCAAATTGCTACATCTGTGCTACATTTATTCCAAACGGGTATGCCCATGCCACATTTACTCCAAATTGTGATTGTCGCGACCTCCCCGAACCGGCCTCGCCGCCTAAGGGGTTAGGCTAATAGATTACTAAGTTAAACCTAGCTCGAGCTCTCCCAAGCCCATATCAATTCGCGACTTAAGTTTAAGTTGTTAACATGCAAATCAATTTCATCTAGGAGTCACCACTAATCGATTTTTGGTGGGTCGATTAGACACCCAAGTAAAGCACAGGAGAAATGCTTTACTTCTACGAACCAGAGATTCAATGGGTACGGGGACTTGATTACACTAATTGACCAATTAGTGCCCTTTCGGTATCTAACCTTGTTCAATTACTGCCTAACGTGTTCACACTAATCGGGAGTCTCAAAATTCGATCCCTAACCAGGCTAAGGGAGTCCACAATCAATACATGAACCTAATGTGCATATTCAACCACACGCGAGATTAAATTAAACACACAATTCAAAGTGTGTGAACCAAGCAATGTGCAATTAAACATGACACTAATCACACAAAAGGGCAAGAAAAGCTAATTCTAAAACCCAACTTCCAATTTTTTGATTTTCGTAAATTTTTAAATTTTAATCAATTTTTTAATGTTTTCTAATGCTTTTCAGACTTTTTAATATTTTTTTTTGGAATTTTTGAACATTTTCGAATTTTTTGGATTTTTTTATATTTTTTTATATTTTAATATTTTTTTGAATTTTTGAATTTTAATATTTTTAATAAAATAAAGATTCCGGACCGGGTCCCTGACCTGATCCGCCCGACACCTGACTCGGCTCTCTGACCCGCCGGGACCCCTCATTTCCTATTTCTTTTCCGATTTTTTTTATTTTCCCATTTTCCCTCTCTTTATTTCTTCTTTTTTCTTTTTGTTTCTTTTTGTTTCTTTTTCTATTTTTCTTTTCTGGTCTTCTTCCCCTCTTTGCGTGCACTTCTGGACGTCTCTCCCCAGAACGCTTTCTTCTTCGCTTCTTCATCGAGAACGTCTTCATGCCGTCACTGGGATTACGCCGGGAACGCCCACCGCCGTCCGTCGGCTCGGGCCGCCAGCGTCGACGACGGACGCTGGCCTTACGCCATCACCGCCGGCCAACTTTCCAGCGACCACACCAGCCCCTTAGAGAAACAGTCACAACTCCCCACCGGCGACAAACGCACTTTCTATCAATCCAACATTCGGTCCCAACAATAGACGCTAAGCCTGAACACACAAGCATACATACACAAAATCAGGCATAGAACACTGTCACGGTGGGACTTCGCCCCAAGGCCTCACCGGAAAATGAATGTTGACTCCGACTCGTGTGCACGTCCATGGCCGACATCGGGGAACAACGGAATATGCCATACAAACACATGAAAAAAAACAAGGAAAGCTTGGGGTCAGTAACTACATTAGAACCATTCAAGCATATAACAAAACTTTGGGGCGTCGGTTTTGCAAAAACGGACTCGGAGTTTCAGTCGGACATTTTGGCTTGAACATGGAGTGTGAGGATCTAAGGAACCGTATCTCGTCAAAAAATCGTCTCGGCTTGCGATAGAACGCTAAAAAAAAAAACGCGACCAGGTCCGACATTTAAAACTTAAATAGCTTCAGGCGGCAAAAAAAATGGATCCACGCTCAGAAAAGGTTCATGGAGTGTCGAACGAATGTTAGCCTCTGTCGACGGGGCCGAGCAATCACCGAACGGACTCGGTGTGCCCGGCACCCGAGAGGCAGGGGAGGGGAGCAGCCAAAACAGGGGAAAGCTATGGAGACCCACCTGGTTCGTGACCGACCGGGATGAAGCGCGGCGACTGGAAGCTCGTCGGCACCGACGGCGACTCGGGCGGCCCTCCGGCGAGCGGGTGAGGCTCTCTCTTCCTTTCTCACCCTCAAGATCTCTCTTTTTCACCTCATCCTCCCTTTCTCTCCGGTTCTCTCTCGCCCGCTCCCCCGATTTCTCTCCCTTTAGCTCTCTCGAGCTCTCAATGTTCTCTCACTCTCTCCGCTTTAAGGCCGGCCGGCCAGCCAGCAGGCGCGCATGGATGCCACCGCCAGCCTGCCGCGGTAGGCCGATCCGCCGACCCGCGGATCACGCTGCCCCTCCTGCCGTCTGCTTCTCTGGCTTCATTCTGCCTTTGTTCCTCCCCCGTACGCTCAGAAGCGTTGAACGCTTGGGGGAGAAAGTGAACAGCCCGTGGGCTAGGCCGAAGGGAAAAGGGCCGGCCCGAGCGCGAAAGGAGGAACAAGATGGGCCGCGCGAAAAGTAAAAAGGGAAAGAAAAGGAACGGGCTGACCGACTTGGCCCGGAAATCTCCTTTTTTTTTTTTTTATAAATATTTTGTGTCCTAATAGGCCCTATTAATGCAAATGTGCCTAATGTCTATATGCCATGCAATTTAATGAAAATATTTTTTGTTTAGGGGTTAAAAATTAAATCCTAATTTTTTATGCGATAAAACCCTAAATGATTGGGCAAAAATTTAGGTGTCAACAGTGATAAATCTAGGAACATTTTAGGGCAAATGTGACACGAGTGCACTAGTTTGAAGTAAATGTGGCACAACTGTATCAATTTAGGATTTTTTGTAATACAAAAATTAGTGTGAGGTTATGGCACAAGTGTTCTAGTTCGGGAGTTTTTGTGATACAAAAACTAATTTGAAGCAAATGTGGCATGGACGTACTAAATTGAGATTTTTGGTGATATTAATCATAAAAAAGAAGAAGATAGATTCATCATGCGTAGTCCTACTTGAAATCACAGTAACCCACTGCCCAGTATATGCTAGATCGACACGTGTCCATGAAATTGTCACCACAAAAGTGTCATGATTTCTAATCAAACTGGCCAATTTGCTTTGCTTTTGCCGCATCCTTTTTCTAGCAAACTTTTTCGGAAATTCGACAGCCAATTTCAATGGATGAAAATCTATTTATCAGATAGTTTGATGTATTAAATACATTTATAGTGCTAGAAATTATTTTATCGATCGTCCTTTGTGACATTTTGTTCGTCAACTCTACAACTGGCTAAACAATTTTGGAGACCACTTTCGCATGCTATTTTCATGTTCAAATGAAAATGAAAACCAAAAACTGAAAATTTTTAACTAAACAAACAGGGCAACCTACTTTGCTTTTACCGCATAGTCAAGCCAGGATGTTAGACTAGTCGATTTCGTGCATGTCAAGCTCGGAATTTGTCCATTGGGACCCTTCCAAAGGTTTTCCACTACATTAGCTGCATTCCACATTTTACGATGATTCCAAAAGCATATCTCACAAAGGCTTTCATAATTTCAGCATTTTATGTCGAATCTCGCAAAGGCTATGTTCCCCTTTTCTTCTTATTGATCAATTCCATTCCCACTAGCCAAAATTTAATTTATTCTTTTAAACATGAGAACGAACGAGATTTGAGGATTCGACTTTCGTGCGTGTGGAACGCTGTGGGCCATTACTCTGATTTTTTCATGATATTATGTATTTTCTCATTGGTTTTAAGACTATTCGAGTTTTCACGAAGTGACATGGAGATGCCATTGGCCTTGCTATATATTCGTGCATGAAGTTGATCATGAGGCAGCACCAGACCATTGTCTCCCAACAAAAGCATCAGCTCTGCAACCTCCTCTCAAACACTCCTCAACCCCTGCCTTTCCCATCGAAAATGGCGGAAGCAGTGCTCTTCAGCCTTGCCACTGACATACTAAAAAGCCTCACCACTGAAATGGCAAAACCTGGAGGCTTCTTCGCTTCTCAGAATATCCAGTTGCTCTGCTGTGCCAAGGACGAGCTCCAAAGCCTTGAAGGCACTGTCCAGACCATCCAAGCTGTGCTTTTGGATGCTGAGAGACAGCAATGGCACAACAATGAGCTCAAGCTCCGGCTCAAGAGGCTCAAGGATATGCTGTACGAGTTACAGGATTTGCTCGACGATGTCGCAACCGAAGATCTGAGGTGGAAGGTCACTTCTGGCAACAAGATGTTGAAAGCAGTACGCATTTTCTTCTCTAAATCAAATCAGCTTGCACACCGTCTCAAAGTGGCTAATAAGATTCAGGAACTTAGGAAGAAACTGGTTCGGATTAAAAATGATAGGGAGTTCAATTTGGAGCGGCATCTGAGTGAGGCAACTCTTTCTATTGTGAGGAGGACAACTCACTCTTTTGCGCGAGAGGAAGAAATAATTGGTAGAGAAGAGGATAAGGAGGAGATCATCGCACAATTGCTTGATTCCTCCTCCAGAGAGAGTGTGTCGGTTGTTTCCATCGTCGGTATAGGAGGACTGGGAAAAACCACGCTTGCTGATCTGGTATACAATGATGAAAAGGTGAAAGAATGTTTCAAGCTTAAGATGTGGGTGTGTCATGGGGATCCTAAAATATTTGATGTGGATTTGATCATCAAAGAAATACTGAAATCAGCCAAAGATGGGTGTCAAGGGGATCTTGAGATGACAAATCTGCAAGGCATTGAAAATAAGAATGAGGAACAGTTGCGAAGGCTCCTTGGTAAGGTACTAGGTGGGAAGAAGTACTTGCTTGTTTTGGATGACTTGTGGAATGACGATCGCCTGAGATGGCTGGAACTCCAACCTTTGCTAATGGGCGGTTCAAGGGGGAGCAAGATACTCATAACCACACGCAATCGGTCAGTTGTGCAGGCTACGGATGCGAATTCAGTTATCCATGATCTACGTGGCTTATCTGAAGATAAGTCATGGGACTTATTCAAGAAAATGGCTTTTGGAAATGGGGAAGAATCATTAGACTTGAGATTGGAGGAGATAGGTCGAGATATACTTAAAAAATGCGCTGGCGTTCCCCTTGCCATCAAAACAATAGGTAGTCTTCTATACGCCAAAAATGAAAAAGAGTGGCTCAATTTCAAGGAGCGTGAACTTTCAAAAATAGATAAGCTGGACCGTGGAATTATGGAAATCCTTAAGCTCAGCTACGATCATCTTCCATCACATTTAAAACATTGCTTTGCATATTTTGCATTGTTTCCAAAAGATTATGTCTTTGATAAACAGACAATGATACAACTCTGGATGGCACAAGGCTTCATTGAGTCATTGGAGGGGAACGAGGACCTAGAAGAGACTGGGGATAGTTATGTCTCGGACCTACTAAGTAGGTCCTTCCTCGAATTTGAAATGGTCGATGATTACACTGGTGAGGTGAAAATGTTCAAGATGCACGATCTCATGCATGATCTTGCCTTGAAAGTCGCAGGAGATGAGTGCAAGATGGTTAATCTTAATGAAGGCAGCATCAATGGAGGAATTCGACACGCATCGTTTGCTTCACAATCATCCTCACCACAAGAAGTGACCTCTATTCTTGAACCGAACAATCTACGAACATTTCTCTCTTTGAAAGAGAGCAGAGCATTTGTACAGAATGGGATTCTGTCCAAGTTTAGGCATTGTCGAGTGTTGGGCTTGGGCTATGCGCATTTTGGTATCCCTACTTCCTTGGGAAGTCGGTCCAAGCACTTAAGATTTCTTGAAATTTCTGAAAACCTATCCATGGAGAGTATGCCAGATTCAATCACAGATTTGTTGAACTTACAAACCCTTAAACTCTTCGGTTGCAAGAATCTTAAAACACTTCCGAGAGATTTGAGGAAATTGGTCAACCTGAGACACCTCTCAGTTAATGGATGTGACTCACTAAGCCACCTACCATTCCTAAGTGAACTCCCTTTCCTAAGGACGTTGAATCTCATGGGCTTGGATGCATTGGAGTTCCTTCAAGAAATTAGTTACCCAGAGCATTCTAATATTGGGCGGCCCTTCTTCCCATCTCTGAAGAGACTATCGCTCCTCAATTGTCGCAACCTAAAAGGATGGTGGGGAAGACGGCAAATGGTGGCAGCAGATCAGGATCGTGCACAGTATGATCAACAATCATCCTTCCCAAAACTTTCGTCCGCAGCAATATTGGGTTGTCCACACCTGAATTCAGTGCCACTGTTCCCCTTGATAGAATACTTGAACATAGCTAGCGCGGAGTTGTTGGAACAAAAGATGGCCGTTCTAGATTTTCCATCAAAAGCACCAGTGGAATCCACGTTCATCCCTCTCTCTAAATTGAAGGGTCTACATTTTGCTGGTGGTGATTTGGAGCACTCGATGCTCGAGACTTTACTTCCGGTGCTTAACAACCTCAAGTCCATGAGCCTTGATGATTGCGCCAAACTAAGGAGTCTCTCTTGTGGAATGCAATATATGTCCTCACTCGAGCACCTCGTCATTGGTGCTTGTGAAGAACTTGATTTGTCGAGCCACGATGACGAGCATGGCACCCAATGGCGATCTCTTGTTAAACTCCGCATTCTTAGAATCAAACAACTTCCGAAACTGGTGACATTACCGGAGGGGATTCAATATGTCCCCACTTTGCAATTTCTCCAGATTGAACGCTGTGAGAATCTGACGAATTTGCCCGAATGGATTGGTAATTTCTCCTCGCTCAAAGTGCTTGAAATTATTGGCTGCAGGAGGTTGCGTTGTTGTGAAGGGATTGTCCACCTCGCCGACCGACAGGATAAAGTTAGAGTCATCGGAAATCCCAGGCTAGCGATAAGTCTAGGCGCCCATTCTCTTCGCTCGAAAAACTTACATTTTTTGGCTGCAACAGTTTTCCGGACGGGATTGTCCACCTTACCAACCTAGAGGATAAAGTTAGAGTCATCGGAAATGCCCAGCTAATGGTAAGTCTAGACACCATTATCTCAATTTCAAGTAGTTTTGTGCGAAATTAAAATATTAAAGACCGTCACCACCAGGCGGAAGCATTTGGGGTCATGTGAAAGTAGCGGATTTTTGTTTTGAATTGCGCGTGCTCACAGAGAAGAAGAGAACTAAAATAAGGATCTTACGCCTTGGAAGAAAAGAAACTCCTATGACGCTAGTTGCTTCTGTCTTTCTTGTTTTGGTTTTGGAACTTTTATTTGCAGGAGAATATATTTTAATGCAACCGTATATTCCTCCTCATAAATTTCACTTTTGGTAGTTTTGCACCTTTTCCGACTTGGCTTTGTAAAATATATTGTCTTGCGCACGTTTTCTGAACTAACAAAATACTCGTTAGTATGGAGTAAAACGAATTATACATGTATAAAACACAATTCGTATTGTATTTAGGTAAATATGATTCATTTTTTACTTATTTTAAAATTTTTGTGAGTCAAATAAATATGCAGCATGTCAATTATAACATGTAATTGCTGACTTCACACTTGTAATTACATCTTCTGGTGTTCAGATAAACACATATAATATTGTTTGAGCATGACATTAGATAGCACGAGGTAAAAATAAAATTAATTGTCATACTCGTTATTTTTATAAAAGAATACAAACAAGATAGGTATGTTTTTATATGCAAGTTTTGCTGGTTTGTAATGCGATTAATGTTAGGCTTGTCATAATTTTATTTTCAGGCTTAATTTCAATAGTACCAATAAAAAAAGTTTATGTTTTATACCCGTCTGTATGGTGCAATGTTTAACTTCTGCCCCCATGAAAATGGCAGGCGCACATATGGATAAGAAGAGTTTTGTGGGCCCCCCACTACAAACCGAAGCTGTTAGATGAAGGTGTGGATTAATATTTAATTACTTTAACACTCCCCTTCACGTTTAGTCTGATTTTTTTTTTGCCTAGTACTAAGCGTTGACATATTTAATTAGGGAGACAAATGGGGCCTGGAAAGATTTGAACTCAGCACATTCAGCTTTGATACTATATGAAATTTGATGCCCATTATCAACTGTTCTAAAAGCTTAAGTTGTTAGTTAAAGACGTGGAATAATATTTAATTACTTTAACATGGCTCAAGAGGCTGGAGAGTGTCGTGCGAAGTAGAGGACTTTTGCTCGATGACATCCCCTGCGGCGGTGCTACATATTTGTACAATTAAGGATGCCGCGCCTTGGAGAAAAAAGGAACTCTTATCACGTTACTTGTCACTTTTTTTGGTTATATTCCTCACCATAAATTTCATCTTTTATAGTTTCTGCTCGTTTCTTGGAGTTGTTTTTGTACAATATATAGTGATCACAGTTCTTGTTTGTTTATGAATGTACGTCGTGCCTTTATTCAATAGTTCTCGGTGAAAATTTTTTCTGGCCTCTAATGAAATCTCCATTTGAGAGCTGAGGTGAAGAGTCGCGACCAATGACAACACGGTAATGAAACTACCTCGTGTAGAACTTTAAAGTGGGTAATAAGATAGCCACGGCCCTCTCAAAGTGAACCTCAAGAGAGTTTAATGGATTGCTAGGAGGGCGCATATAACCCTCTTGCAAGGTAGTGCTTATGCTTCGCATCAACTCTTTTAAGCCTTACTATTGATACCTAAATTTTTGCCCAAAAATCATTTTCGAAAATTGGAGCTTGTTTTCCGCAAAAAAATATATTTCATTAGATGTCGAGTTCTTGAATTACTCATGCATTTAGTACAACTTTCTAATTGATATTTATTCCCTTAGAGTTTGTTTAAAAAAATGACATAAAAAAGATAAAAAGTATATACATAATAAAAAGAACAAAAAAATAAAAAAAATTAAGTAAAAAAAATTAAAAGAGAGATGGCATGGGCGGACGTTGATTGAGGCGGTGGAGAACTGGGACTGAGAAGAGCTCATCAGCTCACGTCGGTCACCAACCACACACGCACACACTCACCTTCAGCAAGTTGGAAGATGGATTGTCAGAATTCATTCAAAGCCACAAAACCAACAGTAAGAGGATGTCATTCCTGCTTTCAAGAAAATGGACCAAGACAAAAAGAATAAATGAAGAAGAACAGGGCATGGGCTGAAATCAAACGTTGAGTGAAGCAGAGGAATAGCAGCGGATAGGAGCATTGATCGGCGCATGAAATTGAGGAAAGAAGGCCGAGGACAAGTAGAACATTCAGCGCAAGACATGGAGAGAAGATAGAAGATAGACTGAAGATAGAGTGAAGCAATGAGTAAGCAGGGCGTGGGCACAGAACAGTGGAAGCAACAGGGAGAATGCTTGAGAGAAGTTGAATGTATAAGAAAGGATGGACGACGAACTTCAGAGGAGGACGGGGAAAAACCCATACCGACCGATATTGACTTTCGTTTTCTTCTCCACGCTTTTCGTTTGCTTCCTCAGTCTATCCGGCTGCTTTTCATTCTCAGGGCAATGCGAATGCAGAGACTTGGACGAGATAACGTAGTGAAGGGTTCAAGGAGACACAGATTGTGTATCGTGCTGAGGTATTGTTGGAAAAACACCCATGTTAGGCACAGATTGTGTATCGGCCGATTGATACCAAGTATCGACTATGTCTTTTTCATGAGCTCGTCAACCTGGTCGAGGACCAAAGTCTCGTCCCTGTTGTCAAATATCGACTTCAGCAGTCATATACAGGTGAATGTACAGAGGGAAACCGTCGGCCCTGTGACAAACATCAGTAGGAGTCCCGTTGGCACTTTGCCATGATAACGACACCACGGAATTTCTAACGCTTCGCATGGTGTCTGAGTTTTCCCCAATGTCCATGGTCATTTTCTCGCCGGCTTGGATAATTTCTCTGAGACAGACCTTGAACATGTTCGATTTCTTTAACGGGATTGGCAGGTGAAGAAGCAACCCTGCTTCTAGGATCTTGAACTGTCTCTTTCTGCCGGCCATGATATTCCTTGGAGTCGTTGAATTCGGATGGTTTTAAGTGGCGGAGAAGCTCGAGCGAAAGGTTAATGGTCTCCGCCCGCATACCCATTTACTGACATTAACAATGGCATGAATGAACCAATATATACACTAGATGCACATTTGAAAAATTTGTATCTACTTATTAACTCAAAAAAACTTGAGCGGCGCAGTTAACTTGGATAAGGAATTGCATTCTCCAGGAACCCATAAGAACCTAATCTTTCTATCCCGAGAAATGAGTACACTGGCTTGTTCATCAATTAGTACCTCCGACCATTTTCTCCAATCGGTGAAAGAACGTCGCGTGCTCTGTCGTTGGATTTTGGCTGGTCTTTGTCTTTGACTCCCTGAGGTTGTGGCTCCAGTCTCTTCTGTCTCTCCGGTGGTCTTTGAACAATCTCCCCATCCTATTCTGTGAAAGGTAACGTCCTATTCTTTGTTGCAGCAAATCAAGTAACCCATTAGTAGTACAAAACGTGAACGGGAAGTAAACGCACAAAACAGAGTCGATATGCCTAAAGTGTCACTCTTTTACTATTTTTCTCATGTATAAGTCACAGCCCCAACTCTACAAGAACTAGACAATGACAGTCGTTCTTTTATCCAAATAATGCAGCCTCCATCGTAACCATAATTCAACTTGATATTGAAATATATACATCTATATATGTTTGATAAAAAGTCATTTGGTTAGAGGATCAAAGTTTCCATAATTCAAATATATACATCTCCATTTAACAACTAAATTCAAAAGTTCATCTCAAATATAATCAACTCAAACCCAAAAATCTCACTATTCAAAATGTCCTCCTGATAACGTAAACGCTCTCGTCTTAGTTGCGGTTAACGGAATAACTTGAAAAGCAAGTAAGATGAATGAAATGAGTAATCACAATCTAATGAGTAATACATCTCTTCTAAGCAGATCGGACACTCACTATGCATGTCTATAAATCTTATCATATCAATCCCAAATCCAGTATAAGATTTACGTAAAATATAAAAAATGGAAGATATCTTTCCAACAAAACTTTTTATTTATAAGATTAATCAACCATATCAACTCACAATACCAAATTGACCATAATGATCTATTCCATTGATCAATTTATAATCAAGTCAAACGTTAATGATCCATTCCATCGACTAATCTAATGCTCAATATCTAACTATAGTCATAATTAACCCCCATGACAAAGGCGACCAAGTTTAACTTTGGCTAGTCTCCACCTATATCAGCTGGTGGTTTGGCCCAAAAGGACGTCCAGATAACAATATGCATACTTACCCCCTAATGAATTCTAATCATAGGGACATGAGCATAATTCACTAATATTGTTCTCCAATAACCCACAAATCCAAATTCACAATCCAATTTCAAAACTCAAGTTTACCGACCAAATTATATAACTTTTCACGATTTAATATATATTAAAGTACCTTTCATAAACCATATTCATAAATCACGAACTTTTCATAATTCTTTCATAAAAGGTTTGGCAAACTATTTACAGGCAATCAACTCAAATTGTAATCAATGGATATTTTTCCATTTCAAATAGATATAATGGTGATAAATGCTCGATCTTGATTTTATGCAATAAGAATGTTATTTTAAAACTCAAAGTATATCTCATCCATATTGCTTCTGAAATATGAGTTTATAAATTTCAAAGAAGAGATAGCCACCACTCACCTGATATAGCCTAATCCAAACCTTGAAAGTTATCTCAAGCTCACGAACTCACAATCTTATCAAATGAGCGAGAAATGATATCAAAATTAAGCAAAGCACTATCTCAACTACGAATCAACTAAGCCAAGCTTATTCACCGATAAAACAACTGTTACGCATTAACGAAACTCTCGTCTGAAGCAAATATTTGAATCTATCCGTATCGCCGAGCTTGAGCGTAAAAGTTCAAAAATTCGTTCCAATCAAAACATACTTCATTGGGGATTTTCGTCAAACCCCACAGCTC